AGTGATCCTCCTGCCTCAGCCTCCTAAGTAGCTGGGCACATGCCATGACATCCAGCTAATTTTTCTATTTTTAGTAGAGCTGGGGTCTCCACTCTTGCTCAGGCTGGTCTCAAACTCCTGAGCCCAAGCAGTCCTCCCACCTCGGCCTCGCAGAGTGCTAGGATTATAGAGGTGAGCTACCACGCCCAGCCTTGTTTCTGCTTTTCAAGAGAATGGTTTCAACATGTCATCATTAAGTATGTTTGCTATGAGTGGTTAGTTGACACTCTTATCATATATACTCTCTCATCAGGAAGTTCTTTTCTATTTATAATCAGTTAATAGTTTTTATAGCAAATACTAGATTTTGAATAGGATTTTTCCCCCTTTCTTGCTGCTACTGTGACAATCATAGTTTTTCTCTTTTATTTCTTTGAGGGTGAGAGGAGGTGAGTAGATCCACCAGCCATACACTTCTGTGATAAACTACAACTCCTGTATGTTATATTTTTTATACATTGATTGTTTCACATTGCTAATGCAGTGAGATTAGCATGTAATTGGCCTTTGTTGTACTAAGTTCGTATTTTTTAAGCATTTAGCACTGATTGTATTACCAATTTATTAGCCTAGTTTCTCATCGAAGGACACATCAGTTACATTTCACAGAGAAATATATTAAGAAAATCAGAACAGCAAAATAAAAATTTCTATCCCTCCATGACCAGTCCATAATTGTTATGCTTTTGCTTTATCATCATATATTCATTACTATAGATATTTAGTATGTACAGTCTTCCCTCAGTATCCGCAGGGGATTCATTCCAGGACGGCCGCGCATACCACAATCCACACATATTCAAGTCCCTCCATCCGCCTTGCAGACCCTGGCTATATGAAAGGTTGACCCTCTGTGTACTTGGGTTTTGCATCCTTTGAACTGTATTTTCAATCTGCATTTGTTTGAAAAAGTCCTTATATAAGTGTACTTGTGTAGATCAAACCTGTGTTATTCAAGGGTCACTTGTAGTTACTTTTCCTATCACCTTTGCTATATATATAGAAATTATATTACATAATTTATAGTAGGTTTTTAATTTTTGAGGTATTTGGTAATTTTTTTCATAGAAAGATGATTTTTGTAACTTACTGTATTGTCTACTTTCTTTCTTCCTTTAGATGAGACCATTTTTTATATTTAAGTTAAGTTAATGGCTTTAATGGGCATGGAAAGTGATTTAATTACCTGTATTTTCTTTGTAGGTTAGTAACATTGGAAAACAGCCCATGTATTACACCAGAGTTGCTTCGTATATTTCAGAATATGTCTCCCCTTCTTGGTATGTGTTAAAACATAAACTTACTAATGTTTTTGAATGCAGCCATAATTTTGAGTCATTATAACTAGCTGACTTTCAATTATACCTTCCCTTTTGATTAAAGTCCCTGATATTGACAAATAAGTTGAATGGTGTTTTAATAGTTTCTAGATTTTTCTGTATAACTTTTTAGAATTATTTCTGTTTATTAAAAGGGAGCATTAAATAACCTCACCTTGTGAGAAAATTTGTAATAAAACCAAAAAAGTATTCTTAGGAAACTAATTGCAAGTTAAGAGTGAATTTTGCCTGATAAAATTTCTATGTTTGATAGCAATTTCATAAACTATTTAGAACAGCAGTCCCCAACCTTTTTGGCACTAGGGACCGGTTTCATGGAAGACAGTTTTCCATGGACGGGGCAGGGGTGGGGGGATGGTTTGGGGATGACTCAAGCACGTTCCATTTATTGTACACTTTATTTCTATTATTAATTACGTTGTAAGGTATAATGAAATAATCATACAACTCACCATAATGCAGAATCTAATGCTGCAGCTGATCTGACAGGAGGCAGAGCTCAGGGATGCTAGTGTTGGGGAGGGGCTATAAATACAGATGAAGCTTTGCTTGCTCTACAGCTGTTCACCTCCTGCCCATTTCCTAACACGACATGGACCTGTACCGGTCTGCAGCCCAGGGGTTGGGGA